ACGTATATGTATATGTATATGTATATGGTGAGACTTTAAAAAAAAGTTATTTCTTTTATAAAGGAAGTACTTATCACTGATGATTATTCTCTCTTGCTTGTTTTTAGTAAATCTGAATTTCCATATATCAGATTTGCTTAAGATAGGATGTGTTTGTTTTCTTTTCTTTTTTTTTTTTTTAAATATATTTTATTGATATTTTTACAGAGAGGAAGGGAGAGGGAGAGGGATAGCGAGTTAGAAACATCGATTCAGCTGCCTCTTGCACGCCCCCTACTGGGGATGTGCCCGCAACCCAGGTACATGCCCTTGACTGGAATCGAACCCGGGACCCTTGAGTCCGCAGGCCGACGCTCTATCCGCTGAGCCAAACCAGCTAGGGCGGATGTGTTTGTTTTCTATTTGTTTAAATAATATTGAATATCTGTTCAGATTATAAATAATAGAAATTTTACTTGGATAATTTAATATTTAAATTGAAGAGCTCACACTATATCCTTCCCCATTCTAACCAACTATATTGATATGCACTTAAATTTTAAATTGTCTTATTTTAAATCACTGCTGCTAAATTGTAGCAATTAACTTTATAATATTTTCTTGATAACTATAGAGACATGCTGATTTTTGTTCTGTCTTTAAGTGACTAATCTGAGCTTTGTGTCCGAAACAAATGTTATTGCTTTAACTATTACAAGGGGGCAGAAAGGCTTAAAAATCTGTAACTAGGATTTTGTTGTTTTAAACATGAAGAGAAAAATAAAGGAACAACTATTGTGGTACTGCAAAAATTGGTATGCAACATTTTTCTGAGTTTGCTAAATTTTATTTAAGGAAATGAGAAGATGAGCCAAACTGTCTTACATAGCTGTCATTTGGAAGTAACACAGTAATGTTGATTTGGCTGAATTCACTAACATGAGTAAGAAATGCCAATGGCTTCTAGGCTGTTAAATTGAAATACAGTCCTGTTATTTGAGCAGGAGAATGCTGCTGACCCACTGCAGTTAAGCATGTGGTTTTTGGGTTGTGTTTTTTTGTTTGTTTGTTTGTTTTTTCAGTTGTGGGGTTGGGTTTTCATTGACCTGTCTACATTTTTCTTATCCCTTTTCTAACCTGTAAGATAGCTGATTGGTGGGTATTAGTGAAGTGGCCCATGGTGAAGCATAGTGGTGAAGAAATAGGGCGAGGCTTATTATTCCTCTTTCTGATTGCATTTATTTAGCTAAGTAATGCTAACCAGTTTTTTAGTTAGCTGTAGATGTTACCGAATGCTCTGTAGAAAATGACTGATTATATGGAAGTCGTTATGGCTGAATAGAAGCCATACATTATGAGCCATTCTCATAATTTGATGTCAGATAGAGAATCACTTCTCATTCTTTTATACAGTTTAGTAAAATACACATAGTGGAACTTGGCCTCTAGCTTTTTACTGTCTTCCATCTCCTCCCCCAAAATATTTTGACATATTTGGGAGTAATAAGTGAAATTCTATATAGTATAGTTGAGCTATTATTTGTGATCACGAGTCCATATACTCAAATATATTCTGTTGTCACAAATAGAATCCCATTGGAAGGATAACTGGCAAATGCTCAGTTTTCTAAATTATAGCAGGAAGTCTGATGAAGCTGTTTTCTTTGTACTTTCAACTACTTTGGGGGTTGAAATGTTTTTAGTTCTTTCAGCATTAATATGTTTAAAGGAAAAGTCCTATCTCTAGTGACATAAAATATAATCACAAGTGCTTATTGCCTGCCAGAGTGGTGCTGTCTGACTTGCATTTAAAATAATGATTGTACCAGCCAGAATGGAAAACAATATGGAGGCTCCTCAAGAAATTAAAAATAGAACTATCATATGATCCAGCAGTTCCACTCCTGGGTATGTACCTAAGGAAACAAAATCATTATCTTGGAGAGATACCTGTACTCCCGTGTTCATAGCAGCATTATTCATAATAGCCAAGGTATGGAAACAACCTAAGTGTTGATGGATGGATGGATGGGTAAAGAAGAGAGAGAGAGAGAGAGAGAGAGAGAGAGAGAAGAGAATTAGAGAGAGTATTAGAGAGAGAGAGAGAGAGAGAATTAGAGAAATTATTCAGCCTAAAAAAAGAAAGTAATCCTGCCATTTGCGACAGCATGGATGAAACTGGAGGGTATTATGCTGAGTGAAATAAGCCAGACAGAGAAAGACAAGTACTGCATTGTATCACTTATATATGTGATCTTAAAAAGTAAAGCCAAAATCATAGAAATAGAGAATAGAAAGTGGTTTCAGCTATAAGATGAATAAAGCTTGTGGATCTAGTGTATAACATGGTGACTATTTTTCAAAACACTATATTGTTTGAATGAAATTTGCTGAAAGAGTCAAACTTAAATGTTCTCAAAAACAACAGCAAAAGGTGATGTGAGGTGATAGTGTGTCAACTCGGGGTGGGGGGGGGGAGGAATCCCTTCACTATGTGTATGTTTTATATAGTACACTTTAAATATTTTACGGTTTTATTTATCAATTGTATTTCAGTAAAGCTGAAATTTTTTCTAAATGTTGCAAAGAATATCTTAAAAATAAATGAATAAAATAATGTTTGAACTGACTAATAATAGCCCTGGCCTATATCAGATATGGATACTGGCTTTTCTGCTTCTGTTTAGTGTGACTGGCAGAAGTAGATAATGGATTAGTGAGCCATGCTTCTCCATAGTTTCTGTTTTATGAGCTTTGAAGGAAGGCTTCATGATTTATGGACAGAAAGAAGAATAACTTTGGATGGGGATGTTTTTGCTGAATGACATGTTCAGTCTATTTTTTTAATAAGTCGTGTGCCCATCCTTTTGTGTTTGGTCTTTCTATGACCTAGAAAGAGGTAGCTTCATTCTGAGAATTTTGGGGTATTAGCATGATGTTAGGCCCTCTAACCTCCAGGTGTGGGTCTCTATAATTACTGCAGTTTGAATTATGTTAATTGATTGTAGTGCTTTTTTGTTCCACCATAGAAATTGTTTCCATAATTACCCTCTCTGAAGGATGAAACTGCCACTCAGTGGAGGATGTTCTGTCTGTCCATTGCTTCTGTCCAGTCAAGCTTTCTGGGGTTGCCACCCAGAATTCAAGTGCTGCAGATGATTATAGGCTCATTGTGGGACCGTGGAGTTATTGTCCTGGCTTGAAAATGGGTTAGTGTAGCATAGAGATATGCTGATACCTGACCAAATGGCATATCACTGTAGGTAGGGGATGAACATTGATGGGGCATATGTGGAGTATATAATATGTGGACCATGTAATAGCTAAGATTATTTTGGAGTTTATTATGTGCCAGGCACTGCTCTAGGCCCACACACTCTCTCTCTGAATGCCTGGAACAGCCTTATGAGGTAGATACTGTTATTTCCCCAGTTTTACAGCTGAGGAAATTGAGGCATGGAGCAGTTACATAACTTAATTACTATTGCACTGGGGTTTGGAAATTGAGTCCAGCAGTCTGACTCCAGTCTGACTCTTTGGCTGCTAAGCTCTATCACCCTATTTTACAGTTATAACATGCTGATTTCATTTTATTTTTTATTTTTGTAAAAGATATTTTTATTTCAGAGAGGAAGGGAGAGGGAGAGAGATAGAAACTTCAATGATGAGAGAGAATCATTGATTGGCTGCCTCCTGTACGTCCCTCACTGGGGATGGAGCCCGCAACCTGACTGGGAATCGAACCGTGACCTCCTGGTTCATAGATCTATGCTCAACCACTGAAACATGCCCGCTGGGCACAGATGCTGATTTTAAATTATTTTAAAATGTTTATATAGTTGATAAACTAGATTTTGAGCCAAGGCTTTACTGACTACCAAAACCTGTTTGTTCTCTGATCCCCAAAAAGTATTTAAACTGTTTTATTAGGCTTTATTAAATGATGTCAAAGTTATCTCATTTTTCTTCTAGAATAGGCATGCACATTTTAAAATTCTGTTCATTCAGCAAATGCTAATTGAGTATATGTTATGTGTCAGATACCTTATTAGATTCCAGAAACACGGAAATTAGCTTCAGTAAGCTAAAATTGTATCTAGTGATAAATATAATGTTAGACAAATATGCCCATCATTAGTAGGTCATATTTGTTTAATACCAATTTGGCAGTCAGAAAGTGTTTCAAATTGTGGTATGTTCCTTTTTCCTTTCTTTATTTCCTTTTTACCCCCTAGGCATTATCTACCCTGGACTCCATCACTCTGATGTACCCTTTCTTTTACCGGCCCATGTTTGAAGTGATAGAAGATGGCTGGCATTCTTTCCTTCCTGAGCAAGAATTTGAGCTCTACTCTTCAGCTGTGAGTAACTTTTGAGAAAACTATGGATAATAGTTGAGAAATAACACAACACCTTACTTTACTTCCTTTTGATGAGTGATAAGGTACATTTGACTTACTCATGCCTTTTCTCATAACACTGAACTCAGCATCACACCTTGTCCTGGTTTCTCCTTTTTAATTTCTTTAAAAATATGTTTTTATTGATTTTTTTAGAGAGAGAGGAAGGGAGAGGGAAAGAGAAACATCTGTGAGAGAGAACCATCGATTGGCTGCCTCCTGCATGCCCCTACTGGGAATAGAGCCTACATGTGCCCTGACCAGGAATAGAACTTTTTGGTGCATGGGACAACACTCAACCAACTGAATAACACCAGCCAGAGCTTTCTTCTTTTTTATTTTTTAAATATATTTTTATTGATTTCAGAGAGGAAGGGAGAAGAAGAGAGAGATAGAAACATCAATGATGTGAGAGAATCATCGATTGGCTGCCTCCTGCATGCCCCCCACTGGGGATCGAGCCCACAACCCAGGCATGTGCCCTTGACTGGAATTGAAGTTGGGACCCTTCAGTCCATAGGCTGATGCTCTATCCACTGAGCCAAACCAGCTAGGGCTCTTCTTTTTTAAATAATAGAAAGGAACAAGGGATTTGAAGTAAGTAGTAGCTCTATTCTCTTCTGTTCTGGTTCAGCATTATATGAAGTATTACAGTCTTTCTGTTGCTATACTTTAAGAGGATGAATGAGATGATGTTGGCCCTGATAGTCATGGATATACTTAATATATTTAACTTGGAGAATAGAAGACGAAGGGAGAAACAACTGTCTCTCACACATTTGATGGGATGTCATGTAAGATAGGGAACTTGTACTGAAATCATGGTAAAAACCAATAGAGGAAGTTGTAGAGCAACAAATGTTGCTAAATATGAGGAAGAACTTTCTAGGAACTGGGGATACATAGCATTGCAGAAAGCTGACTAAAGAATGGAGCTTGTTTTCTCTGAAAGTATCTAAGTATTGATAGATATCCTTCTATTAAATTTCTGAGATGGCTTCTTCATTGTATGAAAATTGATCTCTAAGGTCCTTTAAATTTTTTCAGATTATTTTGTGACACTGAGATACTAGCTCTGAAATATTATGTGTTTTTCAGACCAGTGACTGGAGGTTAAGCTATGTCAATAAGGAATTTGCGGTCTGCCCCTCTTACCCGCCAATTGTCATAGTACCCAAATCCATTGATGATGAAGCTCTTCGGAAGGTGGCTACATTTCGACATGGAGGACGCTTCCCAGTACTCAGCTATTATCATAAAAAAAATGGAATGGTAAGTGTACAGTACTGCTGCTTAGTCTACTGAAAGACTTGGTTTGAGGATTTTTTCTTAGAAATGGTTCCCTTCTCGGTGTACCTGTCCATTGAAGTGGTTAGTCACTCCTGCTAGGACTTCCTTCATTTAAAATTCAGGGAATTGGGAGTAGAGTGTTTTCTGTGATCAGTTTATGACTTTGAATTCTTTCTGTGATGCTGCTCAACCTTAGGAAAGCCCAGCTAGGTTTATCCTCAGGACTCAATACAAAGGGAACTAATAATGTTCATATGCTATTTAAATTAATGTTCTCAGGCAGAAAAGTAAATTTCTCTGATCAGAATAATGGTAAGATACTGGTAAATTGAGCAGAAGTTTTTATTTTCAAAAGGGAGAAGAGTGGCACATGTCATTAGTCACAATAAGTAAACAGGGGCATCAGGAATTAAATAGGCAAGTGCTTGCGGTGTATTTGTTTCCTAGATATTTTCTAAATCTGTTTCTGTCCTCTACTTTCTCTCAGTCAATGAACTGCTTCATTTTGAGACCAATAGTAAATTGGTGGATAAATTATTACCACCTATTTTTCTTTTCCCCTGGTATTAAGTCAAACATGGATATTTAGGATAAAAAGATTTCTAAAAATCTACTATTTTTGCATCAGGCCATCAATTCTGCTTGCTTAATAGTATATCTGTTTTTACTAGGGTTCATTACAAAGTATTTTAATAATTGATGTTAAATATATTGAGTATCCATTTACATGGTGAGTGCCATCTGAGAGTTAGCTATTGTCATCCTGTGAATGACCTTTCTTGATCATGTTAAATTTCAGGGTTGTTAAGATAACAATGTATACAATGGGGTGAAGTTGAAGTAACTCTAAGCCATTCACCAGGAAGATATCAGTGTAACAGTTATTGATTTCTTGAGAAAAGTTTCAAAAGCAAACCTTCAAAATATATAGTTCATAATATTTGGAGACAAGTGGTTAAGTCCTGGAATCCTGAAAAGGATGGAAGAGGGCCACTGGAGGATAAGTAATACCAAGCAGCTTTCAAGATATTGAGATGATTCCCAAAACAAGAATAATGAGTAAACTTTTTTTATTTTGCCATTGGTGCCTTTTTCTTTATAATTCTTGCCAACCCTAAGTTTAGGTAGTTGAAGCAAAAGTTTACTGGTGCATAGGCCATTATTATTATCTTCATTACAGGGCTAGATCAACTGGATAATTACTCACTGACTAAATGTATTATAATAGCTCATCTTTAAAAGTAACTAAAATATTATGTGAAAGTATTTTGAGATAGTGGGAAGAAAAATCATTTGAAAGTGCAAGGTTTATTTTTGTTTTACAGTTATTAACTTTGTCAATAAATAGAAATGTATCTTTGTTTTGGGATCAGATCCATCCCACTTGTTTTTGAAGTACTCTTAATCTAGCTAATTTACTTCTGTTTTCAAAAACTTTAAATGCAGCTACTATTAAGTTTTTTGTGTTTGAGAGAGAAAGAGAGAGAAATAACATTGACTTCTTGTCTGCTTATTTATGCATTCATTGGTTGATTCTTGTATGTGCCCTGACTGGGGATAGAACCTATGACCTTGTTGTAGCAGGATGATGCTCTAACCAACTTAGCTACCCAGCTAGGGCTTAAGTTTTAAATTTTATTGTGATTCTAGGTAATTATGCGAAGTGGTCAGCCACTGACTGGCACAAATGGGAGACGGTGCAAAGAAGATGAGAAGCTGATCAATGCTACTCTCAGAGCAGGAAAGCGTGGCTACATCATTGATACTCGATCTCTAAATGTAGCTCAGCAAGCTAGAGCCAAAGGAGGCGGCTTTGAGCAAGAAGCTCATTATCCCCAGTGGAGGCGGATTCATAAGTCCATTGAGAGGTAAAAGATTCTGGAGACAGTGATGGGCTCTTATTTGAAGCTAACTAGAGTGGGTGAACCTTTAGCTGTTCAAAAATCACAAGTTTTCAAATGAATCTAAACATTAACTTAGAGTCCAAAATTGGCTATCCTGTCGTCGTGTTTTGTAAGATGAACAGAAAACTTACCTTGGATGCTCACAGGTGAGTTTTAGTCAGATAGCACTGTTTCTTCAAGTCAGCTCTGAAATTTCATCCCCACAAGGTCTGCTCCTCTACTTATAGATCAGTGGTCACCTAACTTATCCAGATAGGCTATGGATAACTATATTTTCCTAGTCAAAGACTTTAGACATTTAATTTCCCCCATACCCACCTATTTTCACACCGTTTCCTCTACCTCTCTTGTTTATGCTTGCAATTAGTGGTTTATAGTAGGTACTTTGGGTAGGTGGGTGGGAGTCGGAGCTGGCTTTGGGCACCCCTGCTGATAGTACCAGCTAGACCAGCCGTGGGCAAACTACGGCCCGCGGGCCGGATGCGGCCTGTTTGAAATGAATAAAACTAAAAAAAAAAAAGACCGTACCCTTTTATGTAATGATGTTTACTTTGAATTTACATTAGTTCACACAAACACTCCATCCATGCTTTTGTTCCGGCCCTCCGGTCCAGTTTAAGAACCCATTGTGGCCCTCGAGTCAAAAAGTTTGCCCACCCCTGAGCTAGACCCTCTGTAGTAGGATTGCAGATGTCAGTGGTGCTATCTCTGACCTGTCTCAAAATGCAGTGCTCTGGCTCTCTCCCCAATCAGATAATTCAGCTCTTCAACTGGTATTTAATCTATTCAGATGAGGAACAATTACCTTGACAGACATTTTAAGCATCTTTGCAATCATGTTGAAATATTAACTTTTCATTATTTAATCCTTAGGTTATTGTATAGCAAGGTAAATATTTTATAGTATTTTGAGCTACTTTTGCTCTTGGATTGATTGGAGGCTGAGTTTTGGTTTGGTTTCTTCCTTCATTGTTTTTGTTTTGTTTTGTTTTTCTTTTCCTCATATTTGAAAGGTATCACATTCTTCAGGAGAGCTTAGTCAAACTTGTGGAAGCTTGTAATGACCAAACACATAACATGGACCGATGGCTTAGTAAATTGGAGTCTTCCAACTGGCTGACTCACATCAAAGAGATTCTGACAACTGCCTGTCTAGTGGCTCAGTGTATCGACAGGTAAAGTACATTTCAGTGCTCCAGAATGGGACATGCACTGCTAACTAGACTTTGCTTTTATCCAGACATATGTTTATATATTAACATATGCCTCGGAGATATTGTGGGTTTGGTTCCAGACCACTGCAATAAATCGAATACTATCTCAATAAAGCAAGTCACACGAATTTTTGGTGTCCCAATGCATTTAAAAGTTATGTTTAACTATACTGTAGTCTTTTAAGTGTGTAATAGCATTCTTTAAAAAAAAAAGTGTCTACCTTAATTAGAAAATACTTTATTCTAAAAAAACTAACCATCATCTGAGACTTCAGGGAGTTGTGATCTTTATGCTGGTAGAGGGTCTTACCTTCAATTTGTAAAAAATGCAATATCTGCAAAGTGCAATAAAGTGAAGCTCAATAAAGTTTGGGCCTATTCTATATCTTATGTTCAGATCATTTTATAAATTACTATAAGATAGTCAATGGCATTCAGTTATCGATGATGTATGTGCATAGAGTTTGTCATTGATAATTAATGTTTGTTGAATGAATTGTGAACCATGTACATATATGTCTTTGATGACACAAGTTTTTTTAAGTACCAAAGACCTAATTTTTTTCTATACAGTCCTTAAATTACTAATCAACCAATTTTCCTTTTCTGATACTGTGAGAAGTTTTTCTATGTCTTCTCTGAGGGCCAAGCTTGCCTTCTTACAATGAAAGGAAGCATATGATTTTGTTACACAGTAAAATAATCCTTTCTAATCTCAGATATCTTATTACAAACTACTCGATGTGTGCAGTTATATCAGGATCTCAAAGTTGAGAAAACCTGATGGTAGTGATGTGAAGTATATGAAGTGATTTTAGTTTATTCACTCAGTTGAAGGTTGCTAATCCTTGAGACTTGAGGCAGAAGACTTGAACAGAGGCAGAAGGATGGTATAAGTTGTGGCAGAAGCTTAGCATGCCCTTTTTAAGAAGGGGATTCCCACTGAAACAATAGGTAGGTATAAGTATTGCCACCACATAGTTGGATGGCACTTTTCTTTGAGAATCTAATTTGTTTTATTGATGCTTCCAAATTAGGGAATGATATATGTAATTTTTTATGGTTAGTGAGAAATTGATCATAGAATGGATTGCTTAAAATCACGTGGTAAGTTAGTGACAGAACCAAGAATGGGCTTGTAGTCAGGATTCCCAGGCTGTCACTGTTCTTTTATTTTAGACGAAGCTCATTTATCTAATAAAATATGGGAAGTGAATAATACAGAATGATGAGGTGCTACTATTAAGGGTTTTGTTTCTTTTTAGTCTAAGTTTAAAAGATTTCCCCTTACATGATAAATACAGAGGCTCCTGTTTTCTTATGAAACACGAATTGTAATAGACACTTATCACCATGTTGTCCAAGTTTTCAGCCATAATAATGAGACGATGCAGGTCTAGGTGCAGAGCAATATTTGTTATCTCCACCTTTGTTTAGTTTGAGCTGCTGCCTTAAACAAACAAGAACCTCCACACTCCTAGGAAAGTTGAAGATTTTGGTTATTTTGCAATGTTTTGTTTCCCTTTTCTGATATATATTAGCTTGTTACTTGTACCTACATAAAAATCTGCCCTTATATTTAATTACTAAAAATGTAAAAATTGACCTTAAGTTAAATAAATTAAATTCAGAATATACCACAGATAACAAGATATATATTGAGTATATATCAGAAGCCTTAAAATATTTGCTCATATCTTTTTCAGGCTACTCATTAGATTAATGCTACAAATGAGTTGTTAGCCTAGCCATAAGTGAACATCAGGGAGCTTATTTTCAAATTAACTCAATTCAGCAAAAGGCAAAAAGCTAAGTGCATTATCTGCCGTGTAACAAAAATTGGCAGTAACCTTAATATCCAATCATAGGATTAAATAAATTATAGTTGTTCACTTAATACAATATTTAATAACCATTAATACAATACTTCTAAAGATGGCATAGATGCATGGAAAAATGTTTATAATAAAAGTGAAAATCATAATAAATTACTTTTCCTTGCAGCTATACAAAGTATATATGTACATGGGAAGACAATTAACAGTAATAATCAAACATGAAACTTTTATGAGAAAGTGGTGAATTTCTTTTCTTTTTTTGCCTAAAATTTTCTTCACTGTCATTTCAATATAAGACATAGAAGAAGGAGAGGGGAGATGTAGTTAATTTAGTTTTTGATGCTTTGTCCCACACTCTTTAGAATATTGAGGTCCCAGAGACGACCTAAGTGTCGTGGTATCATTGCCACTTCCTTTCTAGATTGATTGACAGTTTTATTTTTTTAAATGTTTTATTATTGTTTCTTCCTGTTTCATGCTTCTCAAAGTATAGTTCAAGACTTGTTTCCCATTATAATTGATGAAGGCGTCCTTACAGTCAGCTAGCTGATAGTGAGAAGGCAGAATCAAGGTCAGAGAGATACAGAAAAATAATTTTAAGTATGTTTCTAGGTTCAATGAGAAAAGCCTTTAATCAACTATTAAAGCAGAAGAGGTAAGTGCCTACTGTGTGTGTTAAGGACTGCTTTTGTTTTTTTAAAGATAGAAAACTTTTAGCTAAAAAAATTCTGTAAAATTTGTTATAGCTTGAAAGGGTTCTTGCCATGTGAAATTTGGGACTCATACTATAGTTTTACTTTTTTTCCCCAGGAAGCTCTCTTCAATATGCCTTATTTAGACTAACCCTATGGGACAGTGCGGAATACATAATAAGACTTTGTACTCAGTAAATGTTTATTATTAGCAGACTTGATTGACCATGTTGGGAGTATCCCATTTGTACTCTGAATTTTCCTATCAGGGAAGGAGCATCCATATTGATTCATGGAACAGAAGGCACTGATTCCACACTTCAGGTGACCTCCCTGGCCCAGATCATCTTGGAACCAAGAAGCAGGACCATCCGTGGTTTTGAGGCCCTGATAGAAAGAGAGTGGCTGCAGGTGAGAAAAGCTGTTTTGTGTGCAGTGGAACAGCTGATAATTGATGTCGTGATCCTGGTTTGTAGAAGCGGATATAATGTATGACATTTTGATGGTTAGGGCCATTTTCTTTGTGTCTTGTTTCCTGAACTAGACCAAAACAAAGTGACTTCTTTGAGGTCAGGGACCTTGCCCAGTTCATCTGTTTATCCTTAGTACAAAGCACTGCTGTCACATAAGGCTGTGGATGAAAACTGAAATAAAGGCCTCATAAACAGGAGGAAATCCTCCAAGGCAGAGGTTAATTCGTGAATGTACATACACTATGTAACGTAGTAAACAATTGTAACTAAAAATATATGTTTAAATATATCTTGGAATGGAAGTATCTCTGGAGAAAATAATTTCTGGCCTTTCTAGTTACAATTTGGATTTATTATGCGTTAATGCTGTTACATGTACTCTGTCTACCCTGCCTGACAACTGACTATCTCTGTTTAACTCAGACCATCTTAAATATTTGGTAGAAATCTATTGGACTACATTCCTTATGTTACAGAGCAAATAAACAAATGAGTATGATATACTATATATTGGCATTTTAATGAGCATAAAATCCCATTAGCTACTGGAAAATGGTCATGGCATTATCTTAGTCACACATAAGGATCCAAAGATAAGAAATTCCTAGAAGGGTGTGATTTGGGATAAGGGTGATACTCAGGTTCTGGGTTGGCCAGAGCCAGTGATTCTTGAATTTCCTTTGGTCAGTAGATACCAGACTCTTCTAGTTCTTTGGGGGAAAAGAGGGACATTAAGGAGGGCTTTATCTCTAATATAAAGATATTCATAAAGATCTCTTCATGACAATAACTTTTTTTCCATATGTAGCTAACGACAATATCAGGAGTGACTTATAGAGTCTGTCTACAGAGCCCCATATTTATCTCCATTTAGTGGTGTGGCTTATGTAGTTTACAATAGTCTGCAATGCTTTGGATAGATAGAAGGTGTTAACTGCCCTTTGTTTTGTACCTGAAAAGGTTATGTTCTTTGACTATGTTCCAAATTACACAGACAAAAAATTTATAAATTTATCATTACTGAAGTTCATTATTCCATTTGGCATTCCAAGGACAGTTTGGGTTCTTATGGTTAAGTAGTTGAAAATTGTTTTAAACCAAGAAATCATTAATCTAAATAGCAGTCACCAAAACTATATGATGTTCCATTTAATAGGAGTTGCATTGCACCTGTGTGAAATAATTTTAATAGAATGTGGACTCTCACTAGGGCCTGACTGTCTTTTCCCTCTTTCCTTATCATTTCCCTCTTTTCTTATAGGCTGGTCACCCGTTCCAACAGCGCTGTGCACAGTCGGCCTATTGTAATAGTAAGCAGAAATGGGAGTCGCCTGTATTTCTTCTCTTCTTGGATTGCGTGTGGCAGATACTTCGTCAGTTCCCTTGTTCTTTTGAATTTAATGAGAATTTTCTCATCATGCTCTTTGAGCACGCTTATGCCTCACAATTTGGAACGTTTCTGGGCAACAATGAAAGTGAAAGGTGGGTACACTGCTCACATGGGGGCCATTTCATTTTATGTTGTTTTGGCCACTCCCTAAAAGAGTTGTTTCTGCATTAATGTTATTTATAAGATGGTAGAGATTACAGTTAGTATAAATTATGCGAAGTGTATGTATTCTTATTATGAGCCTATCCTACGACTTTGTTTCGTTAGATTAAAATTAGTCCATATACTGATTAAAAAGCTTTGAATAAATTGGGTAACTATTTTAAATTATAATTTCTTCACATAGAATTATAGTATTTTACTTCTGCAAGAAGCCTTAACATATAACTGCACTCTCCATCCGGTTTTATAGATTTAGGAAGGTAATGTGCACATTAGTTAAATGACTTGTCCAGGGACACATAGCCAGCTGGTCAGTAAAAGTCGGGCTAGAGTACAGGTCTTCCTATTCCTGCTCTAGCCTTTCTCTGTTAAACCAGTGGGTGTAACTTTAATTCGGCATTTAAATAATGTGTTTGACTATGGATTCTTTTTGGTGTTGTACCTATTAATATCTCTCAGACATACATTCAATATAGGGTTCACAAATAGATATTATCTCACATTCTGATTCCCCTTTAATAGAGGAGGATTCTGAAGCTGTGTGGGGTGGGCTTAGCCTGAAAAAGTTCAGTGATTGGCTAGTCATGGGTTTGGGGTCAGGGGGCTGGAGGGAGCAGTGGTGCAATGGTTCCTTATCCTCATCATGCCTGGTTCTTGGGGACGTAGTACGGGACTTGCTGTCCTAGCAATTAAATGCTAGTATTACATGGGGTCTGTGACTATGTGGATTATTACTAGCATAATTTCTAAAATGTGCCCATTTATTTTTCATCCCTAGCAATTTATTCTGCGATAAAGAGCATTACAGAATTTCAGGATTATTGTGAAGACTGTTCATTGTAAATGAATAGAGATTAAATCTATATTTATATCAAGATACATATTTATTTTTAATCTATTTAGATGTTTTGAGTTAAAATACAATTCCAGATACAATGTTCTGTATGACATGACCAGATACTGGTTTTTTCCTTCTTCTGGTTTTGTTGTTATTGAGAGTTACAGTGCTGAATTTTCTGACAGATATTTTTATTTTACAACATTTTATTCCGCTACTAAAAATCTTACATTCTACCTTCTAATATACAGAAAAGAAATTGTCCTATTAGGAGAAGCATTTTATAGTTGTTATAAATTAACTGCTCTAATGGCAATTTTTTTTTCTTGATCAGATGTAAGTTGAAGCTACAGCAGAAAACGATGTCTCTGTGGTCTTGGGTCAATCGGCCCAGTGAACTGAGTAAATTCACCAATCCTCTCTTTGAAGCCAACAACCTTGTCATCTGGCCTTCGGTTGCTCCACAGAGTCTTCAGCTCTGGGAGGGTAAGCCATGCATCCTTTGCAAACTTTCTATCATTAGTCAAGGATGAGCTTTTAGCTGCCTGTGAGGACATGCTGTTGTTGATATTTGAAGATGGTAAGGTGGACCTCACTCTCAGTCCTGTGTGTATTTTTTTCTCAATATTTTTTGAAGAGCCTTCATACTGTTTTCCATAATGGTTATACCTTTTTAAAATCCCTCCAACAGTGCACAGGGGTTTCAATTTTTTCACATCCTTGCCAAGAGTTGTTACTTTCCTTTTGGGTTCCACACCCCACACCCTCACGCCCCAGTAGAATCCATCCTAATGGAAATGAGGGAAAGTAACTTTTTGTATAAGAAAAGTTGGTAGACAGTTAGGACAGGAATAAATTGTAAGCTCCTAGGAGATGGTTTCTGTTTCCTTTATTAAGCAGTCATTAGGGTAGGCTCTTCTGTTAAATGCTACTGAAGAGGGAATGAGCTAGCCATTCTAGTTAGGGTTTACACTGTACACATACCAGTGCCATCCATCAATGCATTGCTCTTGTGGAACAATAATCCGTGCTTAATTTTCAAATCTATTCTAAAGGAGGTGTTTCACCTACATTAATTTTTCAGACTCCTAAAGCTTATCTTCTTAAATACCAAAGCCTGTTGTTGTTTTTTTAATAGCCAAAATTTATCTAAAATATATTAGCCATTCGCCCTAACTTGTTTGACTCAGTGGATAGAGCATCGGCCTGCGGACTAAAGGGTCCCAGGTTGGATTCCGGTCAAGGGCATGTACCTGGGTTGCGGGCACATCCCCAGTACGGGGTGTGCAGGAGGCAGCTGATCGATGTTTCTCTCTCATCGATGTTTCTAACTCTATCCCTCTCCCTTCCTCCCTGTAAAAAATCAATAAAATATATTTTAAAATATATATATTAGCCATTCATTAAAGAAAGACTGAAATATACCATTTAATTTATTTTTAATCATTTTTTGAAGGTTATCTTTATTCATCTTTGTAGTAAAACAGCATCAGGCATATACACAAGGATGGCAGCTGTTTGGTAAATTGAACTGAATTTTCATAAATGTTAGTTGTTCTACCGTGTTCTGATATGCTCTCAAGGACAATTCATGTGTGGAGAGCGGTTTGCCCTCTATATGTGTCAAAGATTGCTTGGCTCTCTCAGCTTGAGATCAAGTCTGTTTCTGTTACTTCTCTGGACGTCTGTCTCACATCTTGGTTGTTCTTTAGCACATCTTCAAGAGCTGCCTTCTTCCTCCTCAGTTTGTGCTTCTAATCTTATCTGTCGGGGTGTCTCCTCGTCAGAATTGTGGGGAAATGGCCTCAGAATGTCTCGGGGTTCTCTAAGTCTGAGCGTTAGTGCTTTGAGAACTTGAGGCTGCTCAGAACTTCTCTTTGCTTACTCTCCTGATTGTTGTAGGTGGTCACCGGTGCAGGATAAGTGATCTCTCCAATGGGAGATTTCAGCTGTACTTCTTGTTTAAGACGTCTGGGACAGTTTACCTAAAGCCACTGTCATGCTTAATAACTGAAATGAGAGACTAGCTTACTTGGGAGAAAAACCAAATTTGGGAGTTGGATGACCTAAACTAGTTTTTCTGTGTTACATAAAATCTTCTCATAGTAGGTATATGGAGTGTATAATGAGACTGCTCTTATTATCTCTCTCTGCTGTTTACATTTACATCATAGTTAACCATTAATATTAAGTAATTCTTGTATTGAAGAACAGGATTTTAAAAATAGGCTCATATATGTGGAAAAATCAATGCAGGTCAGTCAATCTTTAAGCTATGTTTCTACCTTTCTGATAGAGAGTAGCGTTTGGACATATATAGAAAGACTCTTGCCTGGCCAGTATGGCTCAGTGGTTGAGCATCAACCCATGAACCAGGAGATCACAGATCAATTTCTGATCAGGGCACATGCCCAGGTTGTGGGCTCAATCCCCAGTAGGGGGCATGCAGGAGGCAGTTAATCAATGATTCTCTCTCATCATTGATGCTTGTATCCCTCTCTCCCTCTCCCTTCCTGAAAATAATAAAAACATTTTTTTTTTAAAAAAGAAAGACTCTTTAGGGCCCATGGCAGTTTGGAGTTTCGTTTATGGAGTATATTTTAATGAACCATAAAACATTTGTAAACCTGTCAGCCACTGCCGTGTTGCCAACTTGGAAAGTTTTTGTTCGTCCTTACTTTGATATCTTTAAGCCACTAATTTGAGATGATATAGTTAACATAGGTCTATGTAGAGGAGAGAAATGTCTCCTTTAGTCAACAATAAAATGATAATTTTTATTTGGGGAAAGAATCAATTGCCTGCATAATTGAAAGCCTGCCTGTTTAGTAACAGAAAGAGAGAGAGAGAGAGAGAGAGAGAGAGAGAGAGAGAGAGAGAGAGAGAGATATGAAATTTAGAATTTAAATAACAAATTTGTGTGGTTCTGCTTTTACTGTAACTTACATTTCCAGCAAAAGTGATTTCACACATGTAGAAGGTCTCACAGGTCTGAATAAAGTTCTGTAATTGTGGGGGGAAAGATTTCCGTTATGAAAATGGAAAGTTTATGCCATTTTAAATTATCAGCTTGTTTTCCTGAATATATTAGAGAACAGTACTTTGATCTATTTCATAATTTTGGGGGGGGGGGTGAAAAATTGAGCATGTACGTAGAAATAGTGATTTCTTGAATACTCTATTCAATTGTTATTTTAGCAGCTTGAGTTCCTGTGTATTTTAGAGTATAATAAAACATAGATGTGAACTGTGAAAAAAAGAAAAAAATTAATACATGGAATTATATATTATCCACACCTTTAGTGTTAATCCATTGTATGTATCTTTCTCCCTTCTGTTTTCCTTTCCTGGACTCCATAGGTATTTTCCTGCGTTGGAACAGATCCTCCAAGTATTTGGATGAAGCATATGAAGAAATGGTTAACATCATTGAATATAATAAGGAATTACAAGCAAAAGTAAATCTCCTTAGGAGGCAGTTGGCAGAACTGGAGACTAAGGATGGGATGCAGGAGAGTCCCTGAAAGGTGTCCCCACACCTGTGTAAAACCTTCCCACACCCGTATCCCACCTTTCTCTCCTTTTGATCTTTAGCTCACTTTTACATAGTAGCCTTGAACTTAAGGCTTTAGATATGAGAACCCTCTAATCTAATGGATTTCTCAATACTTTATGAATGCAATTTACTATAATTACACATGTTTCATGTGGCCTCTTAGGCCTTTTTACTTTGGGAGCAGGAAGGAGGTGCTAGTTATTTTATTTTATTTTATGCTAACCAGGTGACCTATGTAATACCATTAGTGTTATGCACCATTTCATCATAAGCTTTCTGTGTCTACTTTCCAAACAGTGCTTCAGACCAGTCGAGGTTATGACTAATCTCTTTAGGGGATATGTTAATTTAAAAAAAAGATTAGACGCTTAAACATTTTGAAAATATAAATATTTTTCAAAACTGAAATGGTAGATAAACCAAGAATGTTATGTTTAACATGCCATTTCCAATACCTTTGCCATTCTCTTTAAAATAGTTTTGGAATAACAAAGATGAACTCAGTCTCACTCTGGTTTGTCAGGAGAGGAAATTCTGAATATTTATTCAAGGTAAATTATTTTTACAAGGGCAACAGGTATAGTCCTCTGCTATTTACCTTAAGAAGTAAATTTAACAGTAGACAGTAAAAGTATGTGCAATATAGAAATAAAGTAGGAATTTGTTACTGATATGGTATTGTTACTGTTGAATTGGTTTTTCAGGTTTTTATCATACATATTAAATATGTATCAGATGCTGGATGTAACATTGAACCATCATTTATAATAGATGTTAATTTGTTATACTTAAGCTACAAATATGGTTTCCTTAAACCAGAGATACACTGCCCTTGTCTGACATTCTCATTGTACTGGTTTATGTATATATGTGTATGTTTTATTTGTTTTGTTTTATTTTTAAGTATTCTAAGTGTTTACGAATACTAAAATTACAACTTTCATGGTGGTGTGAGCCTTTGAAAATGTATCTGGGCTCTGCTGATTTGTCCATTATATGTTAGGCAAATGTAATTTAAGTGGAGGTGAAAGATTATGAACATGATGCAGCTATGTTTTAAACTTCAGATTGAAATGTTTCAATGTTATAGGAAAAGTGATGACTATACTTATGCTGTGCTAGTTCATGCCCGAAACTCAAAGTTTGCAATTCAGTGCTTTCCATGTACGTTTCTGTTTTGTGGAATTGCCCATTTTAACAAATACTGTCAATTCCCGTTATTCTTTAAAAAGATAGTTGAAAAATAATCATTAATACCATTTCTACCCCATCTACATATAACCATTTCAGTGTAAAACATACCAAGTCTGAACCCTGCTTTAGAGCTATGTATTGAGCTAAAAATACAATTTTTATAAATTGACTCTATCAGAATCTCTGGCCACATTCAGAAGCTTTAGAAAGTGACAAATTCTTTGTATCCCCAGTTGCCCAAGTTTTATCTTTTTTCTGTCTCCTCAGACTTGCAGCAAAAGGCTGGACAACAATTCATAGTCAGAACTCTCTTTTGGTAAATGTGCCTGCCTTCTATCAACTCCGTTTTGTTCTCGACTTATTTTCTTGGCTATAGTTGTGAATCTCGGGCATTAAAGCCCTCACCAAAAGGCTAAGGCAAGGAACAAAGGAGGTGTACTATCCTGTTATATATACCTCTGTATTGTGTGAAATGTCTATCTTTTTTAAAAGAGGAAACACCCTAGCTTTTTTATGGCCCCTCAAAATTGCTTGCTGCTTTATTCAGGCAGCTGAATTTTTTGTTTTCTCCTAATTTTGTCCCAAGACTACATATGAAGAAAGTGCCACTTCTCTGTTAATGGACCCATAGGAAAACCTAGACATTTCTCTTTTTTTAGTAATTTTTTAAAAAGTGGCCCCCCCACTAGTGTTATTGATTGGCCATAGGGCTTCTATGGGTTTTAACTTTTAGATGGAGTTTTTATTAGGTTTGGTCATGGAGAAGTGTATGTCATTAATTTATACCCACCTTCCTGATGCACATTTTATGTGTGAGCCAGAGTACAATAGCATAGTGTTTTAATTTCGTTTTATTTCTTTTATTGAGACAGCAGTCTTAAGCTGTTGGGACAAGTTTGCATTTCAGTATTAATTTATAATTAGAGACTAGAGACCCGGTGCATGGATTAATGCACAGGTGGGGTCCCTTGCTGGCCTGCGGGATTGGTCCAAAACCGGCTCTCCAATATCTCCGAGGGTCCCGGATTGCGAGAGGGCAGTTCTTGAGTGATGCGCCCAGGATCGGTCTCCCTCCTCTCTGGTTCCAGGTGTGTCACCCAAGAACTGCAGCTGCCAAGTCACCGCAGCTCAGCAGCTCCTGTGTTGAGCGTCTGCCCCCTAGTGGTCATTGCGGTCATAGCTACTGGTCGGACAGTCGAACGTTAAGACGGTCGCTTAGGCTTTTGTATATATAGACTGTCCAAATCACAGTTCTGATTATAGCTTGTAAAAACAAGCTATAATCTTATAGCTTGTAAAAACAAGCTTGGTGTAAAGGAGTGCACTTTCAAAGGAGTCATCTAATTATGTGAATATTAAGGTTTTCCCAAACTCAAGAATTCTGTCAAAAACAAGTGCATTAAAAATATAGCAAAGAGGGTTGTTAGTAATACTATTAAGTTACCCATCCGTTGGATAAGAAGAATACCATACAATAGATATACTTTTGAGAAGATACTTGTAAAACATTATGTATGGACAATTGTCTTTGACAAATGTGGCTTTAAAATCTTTAATGAAGAGAATGATGGCAGAAATAGTGAGCAAGCAAATTGGCCCATACGAGCCAATAAAAATAAGTGAGATAAATGAGTTCTTATATATTAGGCATCTTCCGTATTCATTTGTAGTGAAGGCTGCTGGTTTACATTTTTGGGATGCAAAAAGTACTCCCCACAAAGATCTTAAAAAATACAAAGGATTGCTATCATTCCTGTCAGCATACAAAGATCTTTATATTTAAATTAATTATTTTTTTAAATCAGAAAAACATGGTTGATAATATAAAAATGCTGAAACTTTCACTGATTAGACTTTTGGGCAATTAATTGGTCAAAATTTTTCATTTTGATTTTATTTAATGGGAAGAAAACAAGCAGAAATTAAAATCTGACAGGTTTAAACAACTTATAAATGTGTTTAATTTCTAAGACAAATTAAGCCATTGAAACAAGATTTTAAAGTGATTTTCAGGGAAGTTTTAGAAGACAGTAAACAGTCATTTCAGATTCCATTGGGGAACTTAAAAAACTTTTCTTTGACTCTGAACGCTGATTTAAGAGGTGATGTGTCATTGCTTTTCATTGTAAAGGATGAAATTTAGTGAGATTATAGCCTTTGATTCAGTTAGTATTTATATGAAATAAAAAATCAATATCATGGAAAAGATTTAACCAGTGATTGTCTCCTGAAGTGAAAACTAGGGACATTTTGCTGCATTTTAAAAATCTGCTTAAGGATATGTCTTGTAGTTAATCTGGTTTCAGGATTAGCTATTTTAATTGTCAGTATTAACTGGGTTATCAGGTTCACTTATTGTAAGATCTTAACCTGAGACAAAAGTTTTGGTATTTATCCATATCCAGATTTAATGGGTGAAAAGTGTATGAGGGTATTATGAGCACTCTTTATCAGAAAGTTATTTCTTGGACCAAAACTGAGCAATTTTTTAATAGTTGATCCTCTGTTCTGGCAGCTATGAAATTTATCAGAAAATGAAGTCATTCAGTACATCTGATCCGGGTTTATGTTATACCTCAAGGCAATATAGATGAGTTATTTATTATTCCTTAGCATGTCAGGTCTTCCCTCCCTTCCCAGAGCTGATATCCTAAGTTATTACCAAATAGTGTTTTTATGTTAATTCACCATCCTAACTGAAAAAAATTAAGACTGATTTCACCATTATTATTTATTCTCAGATTATATGAAATGCTAATTTTCTGACAATATCAGTTTTCTAAATTTTGTTTTAATGAATAAAACTGCTTTTACCTTCACTCAGTCTTTATAATGTAGTGCCCATAGCATCAGCTTCCTTTAAAACAACAGCCCAAAAGAGACCCTCTGAAACTCTATGATTAGGTTGTAGAAAATCTGGACTTCTTATCTATATTCCCTCCACAAAACCCAAGGTCCTATTTTTGAATGACACTGTGGAACTCTAGCTTGTGCTTAATTTAGTTAAAGATAGTGGGGCTCACTGTAGACACTACTTTGTCCTGAAAAATAATTCCTGATGAGAACTTACTGACTTTTAGAGTCATCCTGGTTGATCATCTGTGAGTATATAGATTAACTACATTTGTGGTTTGTAATAAAAACAAGTTGTACAACACTGCCTGTGTCAGTCTGTCTGCCCAAAACATTTATTTCCCTTTTAAAATGCACATATATCTTTGGAGAGGTGGATTATTCTTCACAAACACTCAAAGTTCTGTTGTTTAGGATCCTTATAGCTCTATCACCATCTACACTAAAAATGTTGTACTTGCACAACTTAGTTATTAAAAAAGAATATGTATTTCTTCAATAGCGGGTATTTGAATGTACTCTTGATATATTTGAATATGACTCTTGGAATTAACTGCACTATTATTCATGTCTCATACAATAAAATTGCACTGTATGGCAAATGTGTCTATAACGTATGCTTTGCTAAACCTCAGAGTGCTGTAATGTACAGGTTTCTGTATTATGAACCTGTCTATATAGTCTTTGGGAAAAATACTGAACCTTCATAAGTCTGTGTAACACTTTAATATTTAGAATGTTCCCTAAGTGATAAGTTCACTATGTCCTACAACTGGAATCATTCATTTTGAGTTGGCTGCTTTGTCAAGCTTGGTTTACTGAACCCAGAAACAGTCTTGTCAAACGTGGTACTGTTATCTTAGTGTGTAAGATCTGTGTGTGGTGTTCTGCCTCAGAGGAGTGTTGCACAGATGCTACTGTTTAAATTTCTATAGACAACGGGAATAAAATTTGAATATATTCAAAAACTGGTAAATTAAATCTGTAGGCTGGCTTTAATTTTTTTCAAATATTTGTGAAGGTTGTGGCAGTTTTCAATTAAAATTGCTATTTAAAAAATTCTGATCCATCAAAAAAGTTGCAAAGTAGTACAGTGGTCTCCCATATACTGTTCACCTAAATTGAGTAACTTAATTTTTCACCTTTGAGTTAATGTGTGTATGTGTATATGTGTGTGTATGTTATTTTGCTGAAACATTTGAGGGCAAGCTGCAGACTTGATGATCTTTCCACCTAAGAACTTCACAGGTATTAGGAGTATGTATTTACATACTGTTTACTTGGTATGTATTTTTATGAATAAATAATTGAGAGTAAAGGAAAGCTACTCAAAGTAGGTTGCAAACTATGAAATGTAGAATGATGAAATTAGAAAGTCACTACTTGGCAATCATCACAGTAATAATTGACCTAGGCAGTCACCAACAGTGGATGTTAAAACTAGTAGGATAAAGCTTGTGAGGAAAAGAATCTAGTCTCAAAGTATTTTTCCATAAAATACTTATTAATTACAAAGGGGAAAGAATAACTTTATGTGAAGGAACCTTGTAGATACCACCTTGTCCAAGCACAATTAGCACCACTAGTAATGGGACAAATCAATATCATGTGCCTTCTGATATGATTCACTGAGAACACAGCATCACCTTTTTGCGAAGACAAAAAAATAAAAAGCCCAATCTGAATCTAATTATGAAGACAGATCAGGCAAACTTAAATTGAGGGACATTCTATAAAATACCTTGTCTGTATTCTTTAAAGAACTTATGAAACTTATAGAAGGAAAACCTTTTTATAAATTTGAAATTATTTCAAACATTTTTTAAAAGCACAAAGTGAACAGAAAACAGGTGGCATCATACAAAACTATAAAATTAAAAGGAGAAAATATTTCAGCTGATAAAAATTATCCCCCAATAAATGAAACATTAAAAAAAACAAACCCACCGCCCTAGCTGGTTTGGCTCAATGGAAAGAACATCCTGCAGACTGAAGGGTCTCAGGTTCAATTATAGTCAAGGGCACATGCCCAGGTTGCGGGCTCGATCCCCAGTAGGGGTCATGCAAGGGACAGCTGATCAATGATTCTCTCTCATCATTAATTCTATATCTTCTCCCTTTCTCTGAAATCAATAAAAATATTAAAGAAAAAAAAAAAACTAACACATTCCAAAAGGAATATTTGCCTTTCAACAAAACTTCCAGTCCTAGCCGGCCTGCGGACCAAAGGGTCTCAGGTTCGAATCCAATCAAGGG